CCTGCAGCTGCAGAGGATGAGCTCAGCACACGCTGGGCCGGGTGAGCCACCACCTTTTGGAAGCCCTGGAAGCCAGGACAGAGGTTGCTGCGATTCCCATCGGGCAGTTTTTCAACTTAAAATGACCTTGCCTCTATTCCTTGCCTGCTTGGCCGCTGGGTGCTGCCAGGTGAGGGGGGCTTCATGGCTGAACTCAGTGCAGCTTTCATGCATCTGTGAGAACAACGCAGAGCAATCTGCCTGCAGGGGCAGGATTCACTCCTCCCATCCCATCCCATCCCATCCCATCCCATCCCATCCCATCCCATCCCATCCCATCCCATCCCATCCCATCCCATCCCATCCCATCCCATCCCATCCCATCCCATCCCATCCCATGCAGTCACTGCAGACCCTGGGTTTGCATTTCCCACAGGCCCCATCCTGCTTTGATCACCTCCGCTTCTTGCAGCAGCCCGGTGGGATGCTCACAGCCCCCACGGCCAGCCCCTGCCCCGTATGTCCCCCCCCGCTCCTCCTGCACTTCCCCAGGGCTTTCTGGCTGTGTCACGAGCCCCCTGGGGACCCATCCCTGTTCCAGAGCTGCCCCAAGCTGCCGGGCACCTCTCTTTGGTGACAGCCATGCTTTGGCTCAGCGGCAGCTGAAGGTGCCAAGCATCAGGACCCTGGGCAGGCTGAGCCCTGCTGGGGAGGGCGGTGGTGTTTTCGTGGTGGTCTGCATGGACAAAGGACAGTGGTTTTCCTTCACAGAGGAGCTGGGGCAAAGCAGGGCAAGATGAACCAGGCATCACATCCGTGCGCTTTGACGCCAAGCCCCTGACCTCGATGTGGGGGGCTCGTGTGGCAGGGCCCCCACCTCTGCCCATGTCCCCAACCGCAGTGAGGAAAGTCTGCCCGTGGTCTCCCATTGCAGGGCGAATCGATGATGATTGAAGACATCCCAGTTTGGAGCCCAGGCCACAAAAACAGGAGGAACCTGTGCCTTGTGTGCCGCAGGGGACACCGCGGCCGTGCCCCGTGGCAGCGCCCACCTCCTCCTGCACCCTGGGGACCATAGGCAAGCTGCACAGCCCAGGTCCCTCGCAGCCTAAATAAGAATTCGAAGGAAATTCCAGCCCAGACCCCTCCTGGCAAAGCTTCCCCAGCTCAGCTCTTGTGGTTTGATCGTGCAGGACCTCTGACTTGCAGCTGCAAATATCCCGTACTTGCACAAGAGGAAGCAGCCGGGCTGATGTGCATGGGAATTATCCCATGTCCTCAAAGCCCGCTGGGCCTGGACGCCATCTGTGCGACCCTGCCCGAGGTCGGAGGTGAGACATTCCGTTTTTCCTGTGTCATTTGGAACAAAAAGCAAAATATGGGCTGGTGCTTGTGTGTGTCAGGGCGGCTGCGATCTGTTTGCTTTAAACGTGGTTTAGCAATCCCGCAGCGCTTCCAGCACGCAGCCCTGCGAAGGCACGGCCCGGGGATGTGTCACATTCCTGCGAGGAAAGGGAAAAGAAGAGGAGCGCAAGCGAAGGGCTGCAGTCTGGCATGAAATTGGGAGCGTGTTTGCAGGACGTGGCAGCTGCAGGAGGGAACCAGCAGCTGCTGCAGCCATCTCGGTGTCTGGGGAGGACTTAAAATGCAGGGCAATGAAAACAAAGTTGTCAAAGTGCTGCTGCGGTGAGACGTGCAATTTGTGAGTTCATTACAGAAAGGCTCCTGTAACTGAGCAGTATCAGCTGTTCCCAGCCGGAGCGATGGGTTTAGATTAACTCACTTAAATTGGGATCGATTCATTGAAATTCACCTTCAGGGTGCAGTCAAGCCCAGCCAACTCAGAGCCCGGGGCTGCCCACGGACAGCTCACCCAAGGGACACCCCCGTGGGGTACCCCAGGAGCACCCAGGGCACAGGTGTGATGCTGCCGCACGTGTCACCGTGTCCCCCTCACCCCTCATTTTAGCCTTGTGGGGATTAATTTCAGCATCTCCTGCACATGCCCTGTCCTGACTGCACTCGCTGCCTTGGGCTCTTTGGGGGAAAACCCGGCTGTTTGCGTGGCTCCACCACGAGGAGGTCAGTCCCAGATTCACACATTCTTCCCCCAAACTAAAAGGCCCCAGGTGAGGAGGTTGGAGGTGGGTCAGGGCTGGCCTCGCACTGGGATGCTTCCTATGGGGAACAAACGGGGCATGCATGGAAGAGGGGAGGAAATTCCCCTGGAAGGGGAGCTTGGTTACCGCCCCTCACACTGAGCCCAGACAGGAAAACCTGCCCTTGGCTCCCCCTTGCCCTGGCGGGGCAGGAGGTGGTTTTGATGCATCAGGAGAGCCGCTGGGGGGCCATCCAGGCACCCTCTCCCCACCCTATGTTCTGGCTCAGATTTCCCAGAGGTGCAGCAATGCGCCTACCTCGGCGCTGCCTGGGGCGCCGCGACCCCGCCAAGCCCCCCACGGCTCCTGCTGTGTCCTGGGATCTGCAGCTCTTCCCCGGCTTCACCCAGTGGGGAGAGGCCTCGTTGCATGGAACAGGGCTGAAAAATCCTTGGTAAAACCCTCTGAGAGCTTTGGGGTCCTCACTGGTGTGCATCACGGCACAGCTCGCTCCGGCATCATTTCCAGCCAACACGAACAAGGGCTGGGCTGGGCGGGCAGGGGAGGCGCTGGGTGTCCCACGGCTCCCTTCCCGTAGCATTTTGCTGTTTGCAGTTATGACCCTGACCTGTTCTCTGCTCCTCATTCCAGGTTTTCAGCCTTCGCTTTTTAATTGCCCAATTAGCAGAATGGGCAGCCTCCAGCCTCACCCCGTGTCACGTCCTGCCCTGGCCACCCAGCGCTGCTCTCACCTCGACCCCACGTGTTTGCTGCCTTCAGGGGCTGTCTTTGACCTTCTGGGGAAAAAGGTGAAGAAAGAGAGAGAAGACTTCAATTTTTTGTCCCCAACGTCTGAAAAAAAAGCATATTTTTTCCCAGAAATTGTGTTTGTTCTTCTGAATCCCAGTGGTGTTTGAAGAGACACGGAGAGGATCGGATAGTTCAGGTGTGCAAGAACGAGTTCAGGTGCCCAGCCCTGGCAACACTTGGAAGATTTTCTTGCCTCGTTTCTTATCCGAAATGCAACAGGCACCTCCATGCAGTCTGCATCCCACACTGATGGGCTTTGTGGCCTTAGTGCTGTATTTAAACTCCTCATCTTCCTCTTCCAGCCTCTACACGAGCCACCTCCTGCTGGGGTCTGCTGTTCCGTGTCCCCTCCAGGTGACACCTCCCTCACCCACCTTCCTCCTCGTGCTTCCTGGGACTTTGTGAACACCTGGAGTAGGAGATGGGGGAGTCCTGCATTGATGTCTGATGCTAATTTAAAGCTTTCCATCCTTCTCCATGCCCTGCTCCCCTGCTCCTGCACTGGGATGTGCTCTTGCAGGTCTCCTGGAGCTCAGACTCTGCTCCGTGCTGCTCACAGCTTGAAGCATGAGCTCATGGAAAGAGAAAGGCATCGGCTGTGCTGTGCGTGGCCCAGAACATGCCAGAGGAATGCCAGGAGCCCATGCACAGCTTATTTTTTTTGCTATCTCTGAGGCTTTACATGCTGTGGAGGCAGGCGCTCTGCTGAGAGTCACCACTGCTGAGACAAATCACCAACACAAGCACCAGCTGCTGCTTTGTCCAAAAATCCATCCCCACCTGGAAGGAACACATTGATCCTTTTAGCTCCACACAGGGGTGCACAGAGCAGCAATCTGCCAACACCGCCGGGCATGATGCGACATGGGGATGTTCTTCCAACCATCGCTGGCTCCCCAGTCCGAAGGGCATGGTGGTTTCCCAGCTCCGTGTTGCAGCATCTCCTCCTATCCCAGTTAGGAGAGGGCTCCCTGGGTTCACAGAGTGCTGCAGTGCCTCCAGCCCATGCAGTGGCTCGTGTCTGCTTTAGCCGGGGCTGCTGAGAGGCTCCGTACACCCACACCGGGCTCAGCGCTGCTCTGCTGGTGGCTGGGATGTGGAACAAGACCTGTGCAGCCACGCTTATAATGCCTGTTGATGCTTTTGCACGGAAAGGTGTCGCTGCCCTGTGCCTCCTTTGCACGAGCCCAGCTACCAGCGCGTACTGGTGGAGATGTGGAGGGTTTCAGGTCCCCGTGGAGAACCTGGATCCTCCTCCCAAGTCCTCCACTTGCAGCCCGGAGTGCAGACGTGGCTGCTGGCGCCTCCCCTGCCTCGGAAAGAAGTTGCCATCGCAGTGTGGAAACCAAAGCTGGAGGGAGAATGGAGATGGAGATGGAGCTCCTGGGCAGGCAGATGAGGAGCGCACAGCACTGGGGCTGGGAGCAGCACGGGAAGGATGTGCCCGACTTCAAGCCCTGCCCAGGGGATGAGGCACAGCACGCTGAGGGCTGCCATCGGCTCTGACGGGGAGGATTTGTCACAGCTCAGGGGATGGAAATGCTTTGTCGCTGTGTGGAAGTGGCCAGAGGGGAGCTGTGGGTCCCCTTGGGGAGAGCTGCTCCTTCCTGCAGCCTGCTGCTCCCAGCAAAGCAAAGCAGACACCCAAGACCATTGCCATTACTTTATTACCCTCATTATATTCTTACATTCTTGGATGCCAAAGGCACACATTTAGGGAAGAGATTTCACATTCCTCTGGACCAGCCTTTAATCACAGCTTCAGCATCGACCCGTTTGCAGGAATTAGGCTGCCCCAGCTCCCTGCCTCAGTTTCCCCAAACACCAGACCTTGTAGAGGTGTTCCCACCAGGACAGTGCTGAGCTGCCCTCCCCACCAAAGTGCTTTCCCTCCGGTAGGTCCATCCGGGCCACAGCAGCATCTCACCACGCTCCCTTTCCTTGCCTGGTGCCACCTCCCTGACACGATGTGAGACCACCTCACTGCCCCAGGCACTGCCTTGCCAGGTCCTGCTCCCATGCACACACCGAGCTTCCCTTACCAAAAGCAATAAACGCAGTAAATGCATGACACATCCCACTTCTGGGGGAAAAAAAAGGGTTTGCTGTAAGTGACCCGGCGGGGTGGCAGCGGATCTGTGTCACGCCAGCCCCGCACATCCCCGTGAGTGGCTCTCGGGCTTCCTGCTGTGCTGGCAGCTCCGGGCTGAGCCTTTGTCCCCGAGCTTCTTTTCTGGGACCTGGAGTGCCTGTCCCCAGGGCAGGGGGCGGCGGGGAAGCGATTATTCACTTCCAGGAACATCTGAACCAGGGAAAGCTCCTGGAAGCCTTGCTGGGGACTGATGTCAGCGTCTCCTTGGTGCCATGATTTTGGCAGCCAAAGGGGCTGTGTGGGGGGGGAGCCTTGTGCATCGCAGCTTTCTGAGGCAGAATAACATCGCCCCCAGCTCCAAGCCCTGCTCCTGCCCCCAGCCCTCCTCCTGTCCCCTCTCCTCCAAGCCCAGGGCTGGGACGCGGCTGGGCTGGGACACCAGAAGTGACCTCAGCGCTGAAACTTGTGGCTGTGCAGGGAGGGCTCTGCCTGCCCCGCGTGTTCTCTCAGCTCTTTATTTACGATGCTCTGGGAAAACAGTTACCGGCAGCCACAAAGAAGCCGCTCGAGCGCCCGCCTTTCCTGCTGCTGGCCGGGAAGCGCGGCGGAGGTGCCGGGACACACCCGGGGAGGGGGACGGGGAGATGGGGATGGGGACAGGGACATGAGGATATGGGGATGGGGATGGGGATGGGGATGGGGATGGGGATGGGGATGGGGATGGTTCCCTCTCCTTTGCACATCACTGCTCATCCCATCAGAAGGGGCGCTCCAGGCAGACACCCAGCCCAGATCCCAACTCCCTGGGTTGTTTTGGGAGGAATCGCTGGCCTTGGCTGAATTTGCTGTTTTCTGCCTCCTGTCTTTCCCAGCGCATCCTCCCCGCTTCGCCCCCCCCCCCCCCCTCCTCGGTGCCTGCCGCCTCCCAGCTCCCACCCGCTGCCCCGCCCCGGGCGTTCCCTGTGCTGCCTGGGGGATTGCCAAACCCTGCCCCTAAATCGGACGAGGGGGCAGGGGAGGAGCACATGCCACCCCCCTTCCCCTGCTGCCAAGCCTGCAGCATCGCCTGGGGACACCGAGGGGCACGTGTGGCTTCCTCTGGGCGAGGGCAGCAGGGAGGGGGGCACCGGGGTGCATCTGGGTGCAGGACGGGTGCCGGCACCCCGGGGAGAGCTGGGCTGGAGCGGGGCTTTGCCCACCCCGCTGCACGCTCCTGTGGCACGCGATGCGCCGTGACACACTTCCCAAACTCGCCTGCTTCTTGCCAGATGTATTACTCAACCCAGACACGCTGTGGGCGTCCAAATCCCTTCCCCATGAGCAGTCGGGTGATGAACGCAGTGGGTTTCCCCGCAGGGACTGCTCAGCCACCTGCTGCAGGTGCAAACCCACGCGAGCAGCGCCGTGTTACAGCTGCCACACGTTTCTTTCACCTGCCTGGCATCAAGGCACGCGCCTTTAGGGATGCACAGCAGCTGGAGGCTCAGAGCACATGGATTTGCGGTGCTGCCGTGGGGCAGGAGGGTTGAAAACAGGCTGAAAACCCTCAGCTCCCCGGGGAACGGGCTCCAGCTCCAGCTGCTCCCCAGTCATCCCTTCTTTGCCTGGGGTTTATCCTAAAAAGCAAACTGGAAGCTCTGGGAGGGATCACAAGCTCCCAAAAGCTCAGCGTAGAAAAAAATCCATGAGGTCAGCCCGTTCTTCCTGCTGCTATTGCAAAAATTTTTCAGTGTAACTCAGATGCAGAAGTTGTTGTGAAATCTCCCTCCTGCTCCAGCAGGCTGAGCTCGCAGTGCCTGGCTGGGTATTTTTAAAATACACAGAGGTAAAAGCAGGATATTTTTAGAAGTCCTACGGGTCCACCAGCTGATACACAAAAGGCATCCAGCGGTGTGATATCTGTGGTGTGCTGGTGCCTGGTGATGCTTTGCTCCTTGTGCAGGGGCATGCAATGAGTGCCCAGTTTGCCAAGGCTACACAGACATTGCAAACACCAGCCGAGCTGCTGTGCAATGCCAACAGCCAGTTTTTAAGGGAGCTAGGAACCAACGCATACAGGTTAAAGTCTTGTTTGGGGCTGAAATGTAGCAGGGAAGTACCTGAGCTCTGCTCCTGCACGGATGCTCGCTTTGGTTATAGCGGTTTTAATACACCAGCGTTGGCCAATTCCCTCGTGTGCCCAATCCTTCAGCCTTCTCCTGCTGTACTGGCTACAGGAAAATAAGAGCAATATCCCCTGTCTCACACGCCACTTGCTGCACGTATCCAGATCACCGATTCCCTGCCAGGAGCGCCCAGCTCCAGGTGATGACGGCGGTGGGAGCAGCGCAGCCGCGGGCAGCACCCGCCCCGTGCGGGTGTCACAATGCGCGGCGGGGTGCCCACGGAGTGAGTGCTGGCGGGATGCTGGGGTCAGGATGTGCTCTGGTGGGACCGGGCATGGGGTGGGAGAGGCGGGGACACGCACACAGCATCCACCAGGGTGCCCTGTTTGCCAGGAGGAAGAGGAGGGTCTGAGCGTTGGGCAGATGGGGGCAGAGAGGGTGCCACCGAGCACCCAGGGCTTTGCTTCCCTGGGCAGCTCCGGCTGCTTCTCCCCCTTTATGAGCCCAGCACCTCATTGTGGGTGCGTGGCTGTGCTTGTAGCAGTTCCTTGCTGCTCTGGGGGGCATTTTGAGCAAGCTTTGCCCCTCTCACTGTCAGAACACCCTCACACCCTCCTGGGGGGCTTTGGGTGCTGCCCGGCTGGGTGCCTGGTGCCGCTCCCTGGCGCATCTCTGCGTGGGACCTGGCTTCCCCAAAATGAGGTTGGACCACCACAGAAACGCCCACCAGGGGTTGAGGAAATACCTGTAGGGACAACTAAGGCCACACACAGGACAACAGGAATGGCTGGGGACATCGTGGTTGGCTTTAGGGTTATTTCTGGGGAAAGGAGCTCTGTAGGAGCGCAGTGTTTGCCTGCCCCCCAGCCCTTCCACCAGCTGGCTGATTCGGCTGAAACCCACCCAAACAGGACAACCCCCCTCAGGGCATGCCATGGGGTGGCTGGATGAGCAGGCACAGCTGCTCTGGGGCTAAAAGCACCTCCAGCAGCAGGGCTGAGCTTCCCCCTCTCCTTTTAATGGGTGCTGGAGGGGGTTTGCTCTGCTGTGAGCATCCAGCTATGGGCAGAGCCGTGCTGGGCCTGTCCCAGGGCTGGAAAGCAGTCCTGGGCTTGCTTTTTTTTTTTTTTTTTTTGGCAAAATGCAATCATGTAGAGGGGGAAGCAGAGGTGCTGATGGGGGAAAGAGCAACAAGGCACTGGGGGCTGCGTGCCCAGTGTGGGGAAAGCTGGGGCAGACCTTGCTCATCCGTGGCACTCCTGCTTTTTCTTGGAGATGCACGCCCTCACAGCCTGCCCAGCGCTGCGCTCAGTATCCGAGGTGTGGGACCAGGTTCAAGCCCTTCACAGCCAGGTTCGTGCTGCTCATGGTGGCTCTCAGACCATCCTGCTGTGCACGAGGCTGTGACCGTGCTTGGCTTGGGGCAGCTGCAGCACAACATCTCTATAGAAACCCCGTGTTTGTTGGCAGCGCCGCAGCCTCCTGCAGCCTGCTGCTGGCCTGGGCGAAACACGGGAGAGGTTTCAGCCCTGTAGCCTCTTGTGGTGGTACTTTTATTTTTTTTTTCCTCTTTCTTTTCTTTTAAATTTACCTTCCCCTCATGCTCAGTGAGCAAGATGGATGCTTTTTAAAGGAAATCCTGAAGCCTTCAGAGCAGGAAAATTTTGACCAGTTGACACGGATGGAAATGTCTTCAAACAGCAACTCGGGTGCGGGTAAGTGCTGGGGGGGCTTGGGCGAAGGCCTTGGTGCTCCTTACTCTGAGCTTAGCCATCCCCTGGGGCGATGTTTAAACCTGGCTGCTGTATGTCGATGAGGGTTTGGTGTTTCAGGAAAACATCAGTGCTCATTTAAGCTGCTCATCCTAGGTTGTGTCCCCAGGTGTGAGCTCCTTCCCCAGGTCCCCAGCAAGGGAGGGTGATTAGTGGCTAATTACAGCCATTAGTAACTGGATACTTCAGTCTTTGCTGCACACATGATCTCAAATTGTGGGGCAAGGGAGTGCCTATTTGCAGCAGGTGATGTTCAAATGAGTATTTTGTGTGTGTGAACTGGTGTGGCACGGGCACAGTGAGCATGGCTGTGTGTGTGTAAGGCAGCCTGGCTTCCTGCTGTGGAGCTGAGAGCACGCCCGGGGCTGCGGCTTGCACGTAAGAAGCAAACAAGAATTTAAGTGATGCTAAGTCTGTGGGGTATTTCTTGGTGTTTTGCATTTCCCTGGATCTTGTCTGTCTCTTTGCATTATGTATTTATATCTGTCTGGTACCTGGCCCATCCTTGCTGTGCCAGAGCCTCTTGCTGTGATCTCGGCTGGATCAATGACTCTCTAGCTCTTCCCATAATGTTTTCTGCCATGTTTCTGGGTAGTAAAACCCTTGCATGTGTGTGATCTCCCACAGCACGAGCTGCCCTGGCACTTTGAGCACAGAGCAGCACCCCTGGGCTCTCCTGCTTGTTTTCCACCCAAACCTCTGCAGCACAGGGACAATTCCAGCTGGAGAGGCTGATACATTGGATTAAAAAGCTATTTTCACGTCTGTAAGCTAATAGATATGTAGTAGATACATATAATTGTATTCTATACATATAGTTGCGTTAATTCAAAAATGGCCAGGGTATTTTTTGTATGGATATTAAAAAAAAAAATATGTCAATGCTGTACAAAGGAAAAAGATGCATGGAGTAGCTGGATAATGGTGCTTAGATGGCCAGCAGCTGTCCTCTTAGCACAGGACTTGAAGCTGGGTGCCTTGTTCAGGACAGCAAGAGTCTGCGCCACCCCTGGAAAACGGGAGCAAGAGGGCACTGAGTGGTGTGGATCCGTGCGCAGAGGGAGGCAAGTTGGCATTCAAGGGCTCTATGAGCAGCTGGTGACTTGTGTGGGATGCAGGTGATGTGTGCCTGGGGGGTGTGATGAGCTGAGATCCCCCAGCTGGTGGGGCTGCTCACCCCCGGGGTGCTGCTGTGCCCCTCGCCAGCCCCCCAGACCCCCGGGGAGGCTGCAGCACAAAGAGCAGGGATGTTGGGGCTGCCACTGGCTCACTGCATGGTCCCTGCCCTGCCCTTTGGGTCCTGGGTAGCGAGGCACACATCACCCTGAAAGGTGACTTCCAAATCAGTGCATGTGTGGGACTCAGCCCTGTGCTGGGCTTCCCTTGCCCTGGGGGGGATGTGCTGTCCTGGCACTGAATGTCATCCTCCTGGCATCCTGAGGGGGGGAACCAGCTCCCTGTGCCCCCGGTTCCTCCAGCCCTGCCCATGCCCCAGCCTGCGGGTTGCTCTGCTGGCACCCAGGCGTGGGGGCTGCAGGTTGCTGACTCCCTGCTATGGAGAAAGGATGCTCGTTGGAGAGAGAACAGCCCTGCTGGGATGTACTGGGGGAAGCAGAAGTGTTTTCCAGCCCTGTGTTATGGGCAGGAATCGCAGCTGCTCTGTTTCTAGTCTGTGTTTTGTAGCCTAGTATTTTCTCAAGGGACGAGGTGTGTTTCTTGAAAGCTCCTGCTCTGAGCTCTGCTCCTCCAAGTTCTGCCGGGACTGCTGATCAGCAGCGTCTGAGGAGAAAAAGCCTCGTGCTGCGTGGAGCCGGGCAGGCAGATGCAGATGCTCTGCTCCTGGAGCCCTGCCTGGGGGACATGGGAAGCAGATGTTGGAGCGCTGACCTGCTGGGTGAGCCACGGCTCCTGGCTGCCTCCTCGGTCTGCCTGGGACAGGGCTGGAGTTAACTCTGCAGGGGCCTGGGGGTGCTCATTTAAAGGTCTGGTAGCTGCAAAGCAGACCTGAAAGTCCTCTTAAATAGGAACTAAAGTGTGACTGACAAATTGAGGTGCTCTGATTTTTCTCTTACCTTGTCTTGAGGTAGCCTGGGGGCTGCCCTAAGTTGTTGAGTGCTCTTCTGGGGGTCAGTCCTGCCACTCCAGACCCATCCCCACTTGCTCCTCGGCCACTGTGCCCATTTGGGCTGGATGGGGGCAGTGCTATTGGGAAGAGAAATGCTCCTCAGCAGAGCCTGGGTGGGCTGGCTTACCTGCTCAGACCTTCCAAAGAGCATGATGGCATCTGCTGCAGCACGGATCAATGCTCTCATTACTGATGAGATTCACCTGGACTGTTACAACTGCCAAGTATTTTGTCTCCACTCCTGGAGGTAGGAGCAGTGATGAGGAGGTGGTGCCGGGGCTCACTGAACTGTGTGGAAATGGACAGAAATCTGGGCATTTCTTCCAGTTCTCCAGGTGGGGCAGGTGAGGATCTCTCTGCCCTGGGGAGTGTTTCTGCCAAGGGTTTGGGCTGCCCTGGAGCACCCTGGAGGAACAAATACTGATGGAGCCATCAGTGTTGGGCAGCTGGTGCAGTGAGTGGCTGGTCTCTTGTCCCCCTGTTCACTGTTGTCACCTGCACCAGGTCTGGACTGTAGGAAACTGAGACTGGATGAGTCCGTCCTGTCCCACACGTTCCTTTTGCTGGAGCTGGGAAGTCTTGGTACTTCTCCAGGACTTGGGGCAGGACACTGGCTACGTGGATTTAGGGGATTGCCTTTGGTCCTTCTTGATTTACCCTACAGAGCAGGTAAAGCTGGGGGTTGGGCCAGGTCTTCAGCTCCATTTGAGCTTCAGACCCAAAGAAAGACCCAGATGGGTGAGATCCTCGGCTGGGCTCTGCAAAGCTTCTGGACTTCGGTGGTGGAGGTGCAGGAAACGTCTGGCTCCTTCCTCTGTGTGCTCCAACATATTGCCGTGGTTTGTGCCAGGTACCACTTGCTCACTGGTCCATAAGTGAGCAGTAAGGACGATATCTCATCAGGGTGAAGGAATTGGGTCCTACATGAAATCTAAATAGGGCCAGGCAGCAGGCTGGGCTGCTGCACAGTGGCACAGTGGGCAGTGTGAAATCCCCTTGCTGGCCCTGGGGCCAGGACAGCGCAGGAGGGAGGAGCTGGTGCAGCCCAGCAAAGGAAACTTTCCCTGCCCAGCACGTGAGCCCAGCAATTCCAGGAGCATTTGCAGCCCAGGGCAGCAAGGGTCCTGGTGCTGGCCGAGCACACTGCTGCCTGTGTCTGCCTCCGGGTGGGAAATTCCTCCCGGTACGGATGTGGCGAGGGAACGGCTCACTGCAGAACAGGGAGGTGTCTGTGCGAGCCCATCCGAGTTCCTTTGCTCCTTTTTTAAAAAAAAAAAAAAAAAAAAAAAAAAAAAGATTAATTTTATTCTGCCTTGCCCATAGGCTCTGTTTACTGCTGTATTTACAAAGATGGTTGGAAGTGCATGGCTGAAGAGAGTGTACAAAAAACAGCTCAAGAGGAAGTGCGAGCAGTCCTCTTGAGAAGGAAAACCTTCCAGTGCTGGGGTGAATTTCCTTCTTGGAGTGAGGGGCTGTTGTGAAATACGCACTGGAGAGGATGTTTCGAAGGACTTGTGCCCTTCCTGCTCCAAGCCATATGTACAGCTGGAGTAGCTTCAGCCCTGGCTGGCGTTCAGGACCGATTAGGAAAACTAATTGGAACCAAACGCCCTGATTTGGCCCCCCAGAACATGGAGTATTTCAACTCCAGAGGTGGATTTGGGGAGCAAATGTCTGCTGTGCAGGGCAGGGTGCTGCAGGTGGGGACGGGACGTGGCTGAGGACACAGCAGGGACTCGGCTCTGGGAGCTCAGCGCCTCCGAGGGGGCTTTGTCTGTGAGGAGGAAACACCGCCCGAGGATGCGTCAGGGCTGGGATCACAAAACTCCTTGGCTGACTTCGGAAATAGCTTTCTGTACTTTCATTTGGAATCAACCTGCTTTACACAGTGGCTCATTGTTCTGAGTTTGCTTTTTTTCCCCTCTATCTGAAACATCTTTCCTACCAGCTCAGAAGTCAGCATTTGGGGTACTTGCTGCAGCCACTCATTAGTTTTGTTTGGGTTTCACCTTCTTCATTTGCACCTCTTGGGAAGGTGGCCTTGCTTTCATGTTCTCTGAAATGGAGATAACAGCCAAAATGCTCCCCAGCAAGCAGGAGATGCAGTAAGGCTTCAGGGGACTGAGCTCTCCTCTGGGAATCATTATGCAGCAAATAAAAACTTTTCTTGATCATGGATTAGGAAAAGAAAGTTGCAAGTGATTAATTCAGTGAGTACTCATATTTATGAAGAAATTCATGTTGCTGATGCCCAAGCTTCTGCAGTGTTGCTTTTCCTTGAGAGCTGTATCAAATGCTTCCTTGCAGGGAACTCGCAAGCAAATATCTTGGGGATGCTTGCAGAAAAGCAGGGTATGACTTGAACTGTGGGTGACTGATATGGAGGCATCAGTGTGAGCGTGTGTCCTGCAGGGACCAGGCTGTCCCCTCGGACGGGCTGCCTGGTGGCCCTGTCACCGAGTGCTGCTGCTGGAGCCGTCTGGCTGCTGGAAAGGATCCCTTCCCTGACGGTTGCTCCAGAAATCACCACAAAGCTCTCTTCAGATAGTTTCAGATGTGCTCCTTCCATTTATCCTGTGCTGCTGGCCGGCTCCAGCTGCACGTCCTCCAAGTCTGTGCGTACATCTGGAGGGGTGTGAGCATGCTGAGCTTGCTTCCTGACCTCCCTCTCACCCAGACTCATCCCTCATGAGCTTCATGTGATTGTTCTTACCCTTTTCCCTTATCCGTGCATTTTCTCAGCTTTCAGAAAGTTACTGCCATCTAAAGGGTGTGAACAGGCTGCCCTGCAGCTGGAGGACCGTGGGGTGCTGTGTGC